AAAAAAACAGTGTAAGAAATATAATAATATACAGTATAAACAAACATAGGACATAATGAATGATTACGTACTGAAACTATGGTTTGCATAGTTTTGTTTTTTGTGATCTCTTATTGTCTTAAATTAGGATGATGACACATCAAGGATCACCAGGAACTAAAGGAAATCTAAGACTGCACCTTCTCTAAACTCAGTTTTCTACCCATTATACTGAACGTTATACATCGTCTGTATTGACAGATGCTTTGACAGCCCTTAAAGGACCAGTGTGTAGGATTCAGTGGCCTCTAGCGGTGAAGTTGCAGAGTGCAACCATTTGAATACAGCTCGGCCTTCCAGGTGTGTAGGAGAAATTACGCTGACCACAAAACTCGCAAAAAAAAGACGAAAGGCCCTGTATCTTAGAGCTAGTGTTTGGTTTGTCCATTCTGGGCTACTGTAGAAACATGGCAGCATTATATGGTAAAAAAAAACACAAATATTCTTATTTTCAGGTGATTATACAGTAAAGAAAACATACTATAAATATGATATTCCTACGTCTTAAATAACTAAGAAAATTATAACCGAAGCCCCACAGGCAAGTTATATTTAATGAAATCCACTGTTATCCTGAGGAAGTACTGATAATCTTACCACTTTTAATTGTGTTTTCATGACAGATTAACCTTTTAAAGTCTACATTATAGGCATATTCTTCCACACAAGCAATCCTCACAGTAGAGGATGCTTTCTCTCTGGCTTCTTGTTTTCATGTTTTCTGTCAAACTAATCTCAAATCTGTGATTAATACAAGGCGGTTTCACTATATGCCATGGGGCAAATCAGTGTCAGCAGCCAGGCCTGTGATAGGCCCTGGTTGCAGTGACCCTTCTCGAGGCCAAACTGCTGCCCCAGTCAATGTGGCGAGGCAGTCGCATGGCACGCTTACGGAGCCTGACCTCCTTCATATCCTTAGTCTCTCTATCCCTTATCTCTCAGTTCATTTAGGATTTACCCGCTTTTAATCTCGCACAATCTCTGGCTCGTTGTCCATTCACCTTCACTTCAGAGGGATATACATTTTTATTCTGTTGTGCTTATTTTTCTTATTTGCGTGTATGAAAGGCAGATATATTAAAAGTGAAGGTCACTCTCTAACGGATGGTGCTGCAGTTGCTCAAAGCCCTGCTATTAAAATCACTTGTTTATACTGTATTAAAAAAAGATCCATCAAAAGTCCCCATGTCTGGAACCTAGAGGCTTCACATAGTGCCATCCTGAAAAGTCCTGTGGCGTGTGGCGACATTATATGACCAAACTAACGAGTGAATTCACCCAAACACTGGCTTTGGGATTGTATTGTTCTCCAGCAGGTCTGAGAAAAAAAGGATTATATGGCTTTGTATTTCCGGTCATTATGTCAGAGCTCTCTCTGCATGCACATGAATACTTCTGTTTAATATTTCACTCTCTAGGACTGTTTATAGGGAAAATCTTTAAGGCTGGCATAATGGACCATCAGTTTGAGATTTTCCTTTCAAATTGCGTTCCAGCATTTAAAGAGGTGGCAGTCTGGTCAGTATTAAGTCATGGCAGGAGAGGAAAATCCCCTAATGTGACGATGATGCGGTCCACCCACCAGAGCTTAGAGCTGTGGTCACTGGCCCATCTGTCAGACTTGATCCAGGATGTCTGCACAGATGGACAAACTGACATAAAATGAAGACTCATTTTTTTGTTCTAATACTGCAATAAAATACATCAATATTAACTCATTTTATTTAGTGAAAAAACAGCTGCATTGGAGCACAGGGGGCCCTGGAGCAAAAGCTGCTGGGTCCCTATTGCCCCCCACTCGTTCTCCCCTCTGTGTGCACTGTGCACAGTATCCCTATACTGATGTATGAGTCTAGAAACTCTTTATAATTATACATCATATAAGCAATATACAATACAATACACGCCTCAGGGAAGTGCTCTAGCCATGCATTGGTGACAGGTTAAATTACTTTTCTTAACATGGTAGGTGCTGTGTTTAAGGTCCATAGTGAGTCAGAATTCATTAGATTCTCTTTGATAAACAAACTTGTTGTTCTTGTGGCAGAAACTCTGGACTAGTGTCTCCCAGCCATGTTTTGCTTGTGACTCTTTCAAAATTCTACTTGTAAAACTGGACATAGCTGTAAGCAGTTATAAAATGTGATTCTATCCTCTCAGATTGCTTGATTTATAGATTTTTAGAGACCCTGAGGGGTGAAAGTCTCCAGTATTTCAGCATTTCTTCCATTTACTCATCAAACAAATTTACACCAAATGAACACACACACGCACGCACACACACACACACATAAATCTACCAAAAGCATTATGTGAGTGCTCAGGGAACCTGTGGTAATACAAATCTTCTGTCAGTGGTCCAAATCCATCTTTTAGTTTATTCATGAGCTCATATGTAGGCTACCCATGTCTTTATCAAATGAAGCCAAATTTAGAAACTCACTTTCTAAAAAAAAAAAAAATTAAAATAAAAAACAACAGTGATTTATGGGAAGGGGGAAAAAAAGTAAAAAGCTTGGCTCTGAAATAATTTTGTGTGATTATAAAGCATTTTGAATCCATCCCTCGGATCTCGGTCAACCCCCCCC